GTTCCAACAATACTCTTGAAATCAAAGTCAGAAAGAATGTCATTGCTTAAAATGGCCGACTGGCTGGTTCAGACAAACTTGTGCGATTCAGTGAATGGAGTTATTCGCCTATGTTTTAGTAAAGGCGGTGCTTTTTAAAAAATCTTGTATATTAATTATGTTTGCATTTAATTTTAATTCAGACATTTGCTTTCTGTTGTGTTTTATAAACAGTACTGAAATACTAAACTTTCAATCAGTTGAACAGGTCTTGTCGCACATGCTCAGCCGCGTGAATTCGCTTTGGGTAATTCATCACTCTCCAGACGAGCACACTTGTTTAGCATGAATGGCCAGGTTTTGGCCCTATCCCGCGCAAGGCAGTTAATTAAAAATTAAAGTAACCATGGGAACGTGTACTTCTACAGTTATTTTCTTAGTGATTGGTGTTTAAAGGGCATTTACTGTTAGAAGTTCTTGAATTTAGGGCAAGATATTTCGTTAATAATTATGTTTCTGAAGTTTACAAAATCATTGAAAAACAATGCTGGTTGGCAGCAGATCAGTGCCGGTAGGATGGTGCCGTTAACATTTTGCTGTAGAGTAGATTATAAAAGTTGTAGGCCTACAACTAAATATTAATAATAATGTTATGTCCAATAGTAACGAATAATAATAAATAATACAGTATAGTATAATGATGTGTTGAGAATAGAGTATAACCATTAAATTGATAATATAGTACATCATTCGTTTATACAACATTTATAAACACCTAAATATATAATAAATGAGATGCATTAACATGGTTCCAAATAACGCTGGTCTGCCGGCCAATGGCTAGTAAAATGCATGGCGGACCTGTTAATTATCCCAATAACAAGTCCGCGTGACCAGTTAAAATGTCAATGAAAGTCTGACAAAATACCTAAAGCTTAAATCATTCACCTCTTAACAATGTCTTTACAAAATATTACACACAGATAATGTCAACAAGATCGCTATTTTCTGTTTATTGTCATGTTAATGTCCGCTACAAACAGCCTTGGTCTCAGTCATTCAAGGTGAACCGATGAACATCACGCACTAGCCTAGACCATGGAGGAATCCATGGCTAGAAGTACAGAGGGAAATCACCTTCTCCGCATATTATAGCGACAAGCAGTTGATTTCCGTCTGTGTGAGCACTGTGAAGTTAAAACATCCATGTCATGTATCCATCCCACAATGCAACGTGGGACAAAAAGTTAATAAACAACGCAACGATTTCCAGACGAAATAACGCAATAATCACACCCTGTAAATGAACCGTTCGTACAGTCAAAATTATGCCTTCCATTGTTTTAATAAAGTGCATTATCGCCTATGAATACTTAAAAATCGACTGTAATCAACCTGAAATGAAAAAGGAACTCAAAGCAATTTTTTCTACGACGACTCTTTTTCAGTAGACGTTTAATTTGGATTTGGTATGTCATTAGATTCATATATCAGTCTACATGTAAATTACACTCACATTCCCCAAAAACATTGCTAATTACGGAGGGAATTTGCAGAGAATGAAATTTTAATTTGTTAGATTTATTTTTAGATTTTACTCTAAAACAAAACCATGAGGGTTTCTTATTCATTTTAATAAATTTGTTTAATTAAAAATTTATCGGTTTACACTAAGCTTGTTCCTGTCAGCAAGCTGTCACGCACTATGAAACTTTGGGCGATCTGACATCACCACAGCCAAGCACATGGGATTTTTGCCCAGCAACATGACTCCACGAAAAAAAACTAACCAATTAGCGGACAGAGTTTAGGAGGCGCGATTTGATATTTACAACAAGTCGCATTGTGACCATGAAGAATGTGTTTACAGTTTAGAAAAAAATGTCAGACCGAAAATGCACGGAAAAATAATATAACAGCATTCACTTTATTGGCTTAGGCTAGGCCCTAACTGGCCTGCCTAATTCGGAAAAGATTCAATAAAAATGTTCCACAAACCGATCTTTCCGGAAAACAAAAAAAACATCGTAGCGAACATCGTATTGTGAGAGTGCACTGTACATACAAATAGATTTCGGTATTTATATTTCGCGGCATAATTTCCCATACAGAGACAACAGAAAGATTTTTCTGTATCTGTCGTCAGTGTTACTTCATCGGTGAGGGGCAGCATGATTAGCATGTCAAAAATATGGTACTTGGGCCTTCCAAAGTTGGCAAGATAGTGGCTAGTGAAAGGGATTGAGGACCAGTAAAAATATTAATTCACTATATATTAATGTCCTCTTGGCTAGTTAAAAAAAACCTTAAAGGGAAACCCCTGATTAACGCCTCCGCAACGTACACCCATCGAAGGCTATACATGTCAACTTCGCCATAGCTGTTCGCTGAACAACCACCCTAGACAGGCGGAAACCCACCCCGCGGCACCAAAAATTAAACCAAGTTATTCACGCGCCCCAGTACCACAAAAGACACTGTCACGTTTAAGCAAAGATAAGACCATTGTTGTACGCGCACATTTATGTTGCCGAGGGGAGAATTCTACTTCACTGTAGGCGATCACCCCGCCTTACTTTACCGGTACTTCCCCATACTTGTGGGAATTCCTTTGCTTACAATCAAATTTTACACATGTGAGAAAAACTTAATTTCTCACCTCCGAATTAGAGTTTGATAAAACTTAATATACACTCAACTAACATGCATTTAAATGTAGTACAGCATATATGTATGTATATATATACTGTATATATATGCCGATATTTTACTGTTAAGCTATATATTGTATCCTTGGAAGTTGGAAAATTTGACCTTGAATGTCCTGGAATTTTCCTGGAAATTTGCTTGTTTAAAAACGTACGAACCCTGTTAATAATACCCGATTCTATAAATTTAGGAACCAATAGACTCTTCTAGTTCAGTCATTTTGGCTAAAACTGGTCCAAGGGGTCAGCCTATTGAAATGCCATCAGTTTGTTTATAGAATTCATTATTACACGTAAATACAGTTATAGTACAGCAATCCCTAAGTAGTTTCCTTAACATATTTTTCTTAAGATTAGTAGATATCAATTTCTTATTGTAAACCCTATCAAGATTTATATTTTAATGGGGTGGTCTTATTTACTAGACGACAAGCCGCATAGGCTGGATGGGTAATACGTTTAGTAGATCAGATATTATGGAAAATGTAAGCTATCTTTTTCGAATTCTTTTATGTGTATTAAACCACACATTCAAATTATTGTGTATCAGAAAGAGTTTTTATGTATTTTTGGGGTCTATACGTATGTCATACCATCACCACTCCATAGTTATTACAGTTTTTCTTATTTGTGGAATATATTGTTTGAAGGTTTGCATGGCGAAGTAATAATATATGTTAATGCTTGCAGTACACCACATTGATAGTTCTGAGAAGAACTGTTGTTGTTGGTTGACAATACCTTGACGTTTCGATTAAGCTGCTGCTGCAATCGTCTTCAGGAGAATAACATCTGAGAATAATATCAGATATGATTCTCCTGAAGACAATTGCAGCGTAAATACAGTTTTAGTACAGCAATCCCTAAGTAGTTTCCTTAACATATTTTTCTTAAGATTAGTAGATATCAATTTGTTATTGTAAACCCTATCAAGATTTATATTTTAATGGGGTGGTCTTATTTACTAGACGACAAGCCGCATAGGCTGGATGGGTAATACGTTTAGTAGATCAGATATTATGGAAAATGTAAGCTATCTTTTTCGAATTCTTTTATGTGTATTAAACCACACATTCAAATTATTGTGTATCAGAAAGAGTTTTTATGTATTTTTGGGGTCTATACGTATGTCATACCATCACCACTCCATAGTTATTACAGTTTTTCTTATTTGTGGAATATATTGTTTGAAGGTTTGCATGGCGAAGTAATAATATATGTTAATGCTTGCAGTACACCACTTTGATAGTTCTGAGAAGAACTGTTGTTGTTGGTTGACAATACCTTGATGTTTCGATTAAGCTTGCTGCTGCCATTGTCTTCAGGAGAATAACATCTGAGAATAATATCAGATATGATTCTCCTGAAGACAATTGCAGCAGCAGCTTAATCGAAACGTCAAGGTATTGTCAACCAACAACAACAGTTCTTCTCAGAACTATCAATGTGGTGTACTGCAAGTATTAATATTAACATATACTATGAAAGTTGTTTACCCAGTATCATGAGACTAAGGTCCCAGCATCATGAATATTCAATCTGATAGCAAGGAGGAGTAATCCTCCAAGCTACCAGAATGCTGTACGAGAAGGCTGAGAAAATTGCATTGGGATATGTTATAGTCAAATTTTATCCGGCTGATGTTGGTGTTGAATATATAAAAATACAAACCCTATGAAATGAAGTTGTTTTAGGGTAAATTAATTTAAATTAATAATATACATTTACTCTTAAACCATTTTTATTATTAATGCAAGTCTTAATATTTGTTGGTTAAATGTAAAATAATTTTTTTTATTACAAGCTGTTTGATAGTTGTCTCATTTGCATAATTCACCAGACCATCACAATGATGTAATGATAATGAATATTCATTGTCAGACACTACAAAAATCATGAAACTGCTGAAGTGACACCATAGCAATGCAACTTCTAGATAGCATATATATCTTTCACTCAGGCTATGTGTGGCAGGCCGCACAGCACCAGCTTTGGCATGCGGTAACCTACTACTCACTAGGGGTAGGTCCAGAATCGCAAACACTTTCTTACATCAGCAATGTGTAACTAATATTACACATTTACTTTTAAACCATTTTTATTATTCATGGAAGTCTTAATATTTGTTAGTTAAATCTAAAATCATTTTCTATTACATGCTGTTTGCTAGTTGACTCATTTGCGTAATTCACCAGACGGATGTAATGATAATTAATATTCATTGTCAGACACTACAAAAATCAGGACCATTTTTATTATTAGTGCAAGTCTTAATATTTGTTAATTAAATCTGAAATCATTTTTCTATTACAGGCTTTTGCTAGTTGACTCATTTGCATAATTCACCAGACCATGGTCTCATTACAATGATGTAATGATAATGAATATTCATTGTCAGACACTACAAAAATCAGGACCAATTTTATTATTAATGTAAGTCTTAATATTTGTTAGTTAAATCTGAAATCATTTTCTATTACAGGCTGTTTGCTAGTTGAATCATTTGCATTATTCACCAGACCGTGGTCTCATCACAATGATGTAATGATAATGAATATTCATTGTCAGACACTACAAAAATCATGAAACTGCTGAAGTGACACCATAGCAATGCAACTTCTAGATAGCATATATATCTTTCACTCAAGCTATGTGTGGCAGGCCGCACAGCAGCAGCTTTAGCATGCGGCAACCCACTACTACTCACTAGGGGTAGGTCCAGAATCAGGCGAACACTTCTTACATCAGCAATGTGTAACTAATATTACACATTTACTTTTAAACCATATTTATTATTCATGCAAGTCTTAATATTTGTTAGTTAAATCTGAAATCATTTTTCTATTACAGGCTTTTGCTAGTTGACTCATTTGCATAATTCACCAGACCATGGTCTCATCACAATGATGTAATGATAATGAATATTCATTGTCAGACACTACAAAAATCAGGATCATTTTTATTATTAATGTAAGTCTTAATATTTATTAATTTAATCTAAATTCATTTTCTATTACATGCTATTTGCTAGTTGACTCATTTGCATAATTCACCAGACCGTGGTCTCATCACAGTGATGTAATGATAATGAATATTCATTGTCAGACACTACGAAAATCATGAAACTGCTGAAGTGACACCATAGCAATGCAACTTCTAGATAGCATGTATATCTTTCACTCAGGCTATGTGTGGCAGGCCGCACAGCAGCAGCTGTAGCACATGGTAACCAACTACTGCTTACCAAGGCAAAGTCCAGAATCAGGCAAACACTTCATACATCAGCAATGTGTAACAAATATTACACATTTAATTTTAAACCATTTTTATTATTAATGTAAGTCTTAATATTTGTTAGTTAAATCTAAAATC